TAAAAAAAAAACCCTAAACATAACAAGATGATTGGCACCTAAGTTTTTAAAAATAAAAATTCCAGAAATTAAAATACTCTTTATGTCTTTCTAAGGGATTGATTTTGTAGCTTTCAAATTTCTTTGAATCTAAATATATTTTTTGTTAAAATATCTTCACCAAAATGTGATCATGAATGCATATTTTACTTATAGTAAATAAATATATGTCTTGTAACATTAGTCTATAGGAAAAACACAGTTTTCTAGTCATGGAGGATTTTTTTAAAAAAATTAGTGACATTGTTGAGAATGGCCAGCATGTGCAAACAACATAAAGAAAGTTCAGTTATAGTCGGTTTTATCATTGTTTACAGATTCCTACAGAGAACACTCTCCCTTGTGGCCTGCAGGTGGAATCTGCAGTTGGACAGTTGAGCAATATTAATTCTTACAATATATAAACCTCAATTTCTTTCCATTTATTTGTGTCTGCCTGAGTTTATTTCTTCAATGTCTTTGCAGTTTTCAGTGAGTAGAACTTTCACCTCTTTGTTTAAATTCATTACTAAGTATTTTATTCTTTTTTTAATATTTTAAACAGACTTTTCTTGCTATTGTTTGAGTAGTTTGCTTTGAGTGGATAACAATGCAACTGATAATTCTATCTTAATTTTATATTCTGCTGTTTTTTGAAGTATGATAGAACTCAGTTGTGAAGCCATTAGGGCATGAATATATATAATATATAACATTACTGAGCCAACCACATCGTCTTCTTGCTCAGATACTATTTCTTTCTAATCTGGTCTTGTTAGTGTGTAATTTAAAAATATGTGGAAATTTAACAACATGTTTCTGGAAAATGAATAGCAAAACTAAGTGAAATAGAGAGTAAAAAACAATGAAAAGGATGACAGATCTAAAGGTTTTCTAAAAATAAAAATAAGTGACATTGTCAGACCTCTAGTGAGACAAAGAGAAAAAAGTCTCTAATAAAAAATTAGAAATAAAGTAGCCCTTAAAACTGTTTTCCCAGAATTCAAAGGTTCATAAGAGACTATTACAATTATTTGAAAAAATAGGATCACATAAAGAAATAGACAAATTCCCACTGTCTGGTGTTGACAGCTCTGGTAAGATGAGCAGCTGGGAATGGGGTTTAGGAGCTTCACTCTCCACCTTTGTTCTTAAGGTCTTGTTCACTTGCCATCTCATGGGGTCCTCTTTGCTTTATTTCCCAAAAAGATCAATCAGAAGTCCACAGGATTTCCGAAGGAATCTAACTGCTGAAGTGTCTTTTTTTTTTTTTTTTAAGTTTGAACTATCTGGTGACAGTTTAGGATACACCGAAACAGGGGAAAGAGGTGAGAAAAAAATCATAAGGATCAACATTGCAAAGAAACACAGACAGTACATATTTGGAAATAAAGAGCTCTGGCCTGGAGGTTTGGGAAGGAAGAATTACAAAACAATGAAAAATCAAAATAAATAAATGTTGGCAAGGACGTAAGGAGAAAGGTACATTCAAACATTGATGGTGAGACTGCAAATTGGTGGGACTCTGGAAACAGTATGGAGATTTCTTGAAAAATTGGAAATGGAACCACCATTTGATCCAGTTATCCCACTTCTCAGTCTATATCCAAAGGACTTAAAACAGTATATTACAGTGATGCGGCCACATCAATGTTTACAGCAGCTCGACACACAACAGCCTACCTATGGTAGTGTCTTTCACAGAATAAATGGATAAAGAAACTGTGGTATATATATACACAATGGAATATTACTCAGCCATAGAAGAATGAAATAATGGCATTTGCTGGTAAAGGGATGGAATTGGACAATATCGTGCTAGCTGAAATAAGCCCATCCCCAAATAGCAAAGGCCAAATCTTCTCTCTGATTTGTGGATGCTAACCCCAAACAAGAGAGGTTGGGCAGAGGAATAATAGAAATCCATTGGATAAGACAAAGAAAAATAAAGGGAAAAGAGGAGAAGGGAATAGGAAAGACAGTAGAATTAACCAGACATAAATTTCCTACCCTTGCATTTGAATACACAACCAGGGTAACACTGCATCATGTATAACCACAAGAGTGGGATCCAAAATAGAATAAGTTATACTCTATGCATGTATAATATACCAAAATACATGCACTGTCATGTATAACTAAAGAGAACAAATTAAAAACATTAATAAAAGAAGTAAACCTGTTCTGTGTGTTGAATGAGTCCAACAGAGAAGCACCAGATTTAACTCTAATTCTATAAATATGAAATGCTGCAAGAAGCAGTGGTGTAATTGAAACAGATCAGAGGAAAGGGAAAAGGACAATCCTGGAGTTTTGCTTTTTGTTGGCTGGTGGTGTGAAGTTTCCACTGGAGAAATTCTAATGGTGATCATAGGACTAGGTCTAGGTCTGCAAGGTCCGGGGAATAATTTTTTCATTTGATGTAGGTGAATTCAGAAGTAGATAAGCAGAAGATAAAAGACCCAAGAGGGTCACCCCCAGCCCAGAGCAAAGTCGACCCAGGCCACAGGTGTTCCTATTACATTCCGGAAGGCTGAAGAAACTTCCAACACATTTGATATTTCATCTATCAAATTAGAGATATGTTCATCTGTTCATGCATCTGTAAATTGCCATGGGAAGTTTTCCCTGAATTGATCAACAATATTCAAACTACGTCTTTTTTGAGTATCTGGAAATAAAATTAAGTACATTTTTGAAGTAGGCATTTGTTTTAAATAAGGTCAATCAGAAACAAATGCCTAGGCATACATTTTCTCCTTGTAAATATTTATATAGTTTCATAATGAATATGTACACCACATATTCTGACTTATTTAACATTGGAACATAAACAGACTCCTTTGATTTATTGTGTTTTATGTAACATAGACATAAAACTTTAGAATATGGAAAATATGTTCCTTCATCATAGTTAAATGAATTAAAAGTTAAAAACTGTTAAGTGCTTACTGCTGAAAAGTCCTAAATTAATTTTAATTTTAATTTTATTATAAAGATTTCTTTTCTGTTTCACGTATCATCTCAATCATTTCTGTCTACTATTTATTTACAGTTTTTGGCATCCATTTAAAAACCACCATAAACGAATATGAAATTGCGGTCTATCAGCTAATCAATTGCTGTTATTTTGGTTTTCCTAACAGGTAAGAACACTTTTCTCATGAAGTAAACAATATGGCTGACCCGTTCTATTTTCCATCTGGATGCCAAAACTAAAATACAGAGGAAATGAGCAAGCCTGGAATATGGAGAATCGTCATTAACCCTCCACATAAAGATGAGGAGGTACTTGGGGGTTCTGAAGCCACAAGCCAGCCCCTAACATATCCCTGGGCTGCTGGTGTGGGGGCAGCTACTTCACCAGCTAGAGAGACCTCCTTAGAATGACAGGTGACAGGTGTTCTCATTACCGCCTGCTTTATTTTGAGAGCTAACTGTCTGCTTTGTGTTTTTCATTAGAAGTGTTAACGGCAAGTCAAAATCGTGTTCCAAGGGTTCACTCTGTGTTATTTTACACAGAATTTGTTTTGAAAATGTTGATATCTGTTTTGAACTGTTGATATTTTCATTTTTAGCAGGGTTATCCTATGATAATTCCTTTAAAATCTTTTTCAGATAATTTAAACATCTGATTCATCTCAGTGTCAATGTCAGTTTCTGGCAATTTCTCATTCTCATTACTTTATTCTGTTCCGTGCCTTCTCTCAGGTATCTCTCAGGTACCTCTGGGCTATGTTAGGAGACTCTGTCTTTTACATTAGTGACAGTAACATGGTTTAAGTTTGGTTCAGGGGTGCTACTATTCTTTGGGGCTGTGGTTCCAATGACAATCTAACTTTTATACATTTACCTCTGGTCTGCTGGATTGATCTCCTGCCACCTGGCCTCCTGCTGCTCCCTCCAAGTGATGCTGGAGGCGGCAGGCGAGGCTTCCCAGGCCAGAGTACCTGGTGGCTGTAGCTGTGTGAGTCTCCACTCTGCTGTGAAGATGTAGCCTGCTTCCACCAGGCTCTTGTTGGTGGGCTGCTTTTCACCATGGCCACCAGCTGCTGCCTGTCTCTGTGCTGGGGGAGGTGGATCTCAACCTCACAAGAAGAGAAGTATTATAGCCCTAAAGACCTGGAGTGGCAGGATCCCCTTTCCTTTCTGGTGAGTTCAGCTACGCAGTATCTCTGCGAGGGGTTGGGGAGAGAAGCCTCAGACCCTGTGATGGTGGAGAAGGACCCCCGGGCCAGGTGACCTTTGTGGTGAAACCCTGTCAGCCAGGCTCTCTGCTTGCCTTGGAGTGCCCTGGATGAGGGTGTGCAGGGGGGTCTACTCCCCAGGGCAGAACTTGAGCTCCTACAATGGAGGGCTGCCCTTCCCATGGAGTCAGCCTGGTCATGCTAGCAAGAGTCCCATGGACCTGGACGAGAAAGTTGACATGGAGCCTTCTTTTGTTAGACTGGAATGTGGGGAATCCTGGAACTGGGTCTGTACAGAATGGAGACTTCAGAGAGCCTTGTGATGTCCTGAGTTCAGGAACCAGGTCACCCTGATGGTCAGGATAGGAAATAGCACAGGAGTGTGGTAGGAACATGAGTTTAAGGTGATAATTCTATAATTTGGGCCCAGTGTGTTGACCACTACATGATAAGCAATTTATCTGCAGTCCTGTCTGACTTTAGTCAACAGGGTATATTACATTTCTCAGTAAATTGTTAGCTGCAGGAGAAATTCAGACCAAAATGATGATAAAAGAACACAAGTTACCCTGAAGGAGTGGGGAACATTTTTGTGAAGTTTACATAGAATTCGAAGAGAAAAGGATAATTCCCCTAACTATATAATCTCAAAGTCCAGATTCCAATTAGAACCAGTCAGCACAAGCCAAAGTAGCCTATAATTGCCATGTGCACAGGGCAGTTGAAAGTCTGATATCAGGCTGCTATCGGTCATAAATCAAGAGGTGGACCTGTGCAGGAGTTTCTGGAAACTTCCCTTGGGTCCCCGATAAACCTGGATGGCAGGAGGGTCATGCCATCCTTCTCTCCAAGAGGACCCACTCTCCCTTGACTTTGTCCTTTGTTCCCCTCTATTAAACTCACACTGGCTACTCTGATGACATCTTTGAAGTCTTTCTGGTGTGCCCATAAGGATCGTGGTGAGAAAGGATGGCCGTGAATGCCTCAGCGCTGTGGCGTGGCTTCTGTCTGTAACATTCCCACCTTTCTGACACTCTCTGTTGTCTCTTGCTTTATTTCCAGGATTGATAGTTGTGGTTAATGGGAAAGAACAGCAAGAAGGAGTCGATTCCTTCAGTCCAGACAAGAAAAGCTCTCTCTTTATAAGATGTAACACATTAGAATACTTCTTTGTAGGCAGCCCACCATCCCTTAGTTTTCTTCATAAAATTATGCCCAGATCCCCTAAAAAGAGGAAAGACAATGGGGGGTGGGTGGGGGCAGAAGAACCTCATAGCCCTAATTCTTTAGCTCTGGGTTTCAGTATCATCTGCTGAGCACTAAATCCAATGCTGTATTTTGTATCGACACAGTCATGGCAGCCACAAGTCAGTTTATTCATCAATGTAACAAAAGAAATTGTCTCTTTATTCCCTGCAACACCAGCTGTGTTTTACCGGATATCACCAAAATTAAAGAGAATAGAAGGGGATGACAATCAAAAAGTAATTAACAGCTAGATTTTTGTTAAATAAGTCCTAGAAGTCCACAGTGCCCAGCCCATCTTTACCAGAGACTATTTACCAACAATTTCAGAAATCTTCCTGATTTACCATTTTTCCTTTCAAAAGTGACTATCTGCCACTCTTATTGGAAGATTTATAATAACACTTTTACACGTTTTTGTGTTTATTTACTTAGTGAGTCACAATATGCATAAATGAAATAAGCAAATGGCAATATCTTTGTCTTGAAGATCTTTATGTGTATATACCAATGTTCCTACTGCCTAGATCAAGCCCAATGTAGCAGTACTAAAGGTTTTCTATCTCCCTTTTATACTTACATACTGTTTTACTCCTATAAGAGTAAAGCTTACTCAGATTCCAATAGAAGTCATAAATTTATAAAACATAATTGTTTGGGTCATCTTATTTTGTTTGTAGCATCTTTCATGAAATCTCACATTTCAAGATGAATTCATGCTGTTGCTTATATTGGTAATTCTTTTTAATTGTGTGGTTTTCCATTATAAGAATATAAAATTATTTCATTGTCCATGCTCCATTTGATGAATGCAAGAGTTCCTTTTTGTTTGGGATAATGACCCACAAATATAACTTAAAGGGGTAAGATATAGTCAAATTAGTCTCTGACACACAACACATCACCTATGTAAGAGGTACAAGGTCTTTATAATATATATATATATGTCAATCAGAACACTGTAAACTGGGTACCAGAGCCAGGGGAAGACTCCAAGTACAAGAAAGCTAGCAAAGATCATCATTGTGACAAACTCCAGAACACTTCTGCCCATGGCATCTGGGTATCAAAAGTGGTAAAGGAAACCCTGCATAGTCAAGCCCAGAAGGAAGACTGACTCATTGTCAAGGTTGGAACCTAATCACTGGGTGATGGCATTGGGAAGTGGAGCCTTTGGCAGATGGTAAGATCACGAGGGCAGAGTCCTCACCACTGGATTCAGTCCCTTGATAAATGTGGTCTAAGAAAGCAGCCCTCCTCTGCTCCCACCATGTGAGGACACAGAGAGAAGATGCACCTTGGGACAGAAAGCAAGCCCTCTCCAGATGCTGCATTCTCAGCACCTTGATCTTCAGACATTCCAGATCCTAGTGCTATGAGAAAGAGATTTATGTTTATAATCTTTGTAGTTTGTGAAAAACCTAAATGGACAAAGACTCTCACATAGTGAAGAGACAGAGCAAGATCAGCTCCACAAGAGTGCATTGGTCCTCCATGGCTGGTGGGCCCCCATCTATCCAGGCCACTCATGCAGAACAAGTGGCTGGCATGCACCCTCCTGTGCTGTACGGAAGGCATGGGAGCTGGAGGTTGGGTGGACCCTGGGGACCACTGGCACCTGAGTTTAAGCAGAGCAAAGAAGTACGCACTGAATCTGAGGAAGAGGATCAACCTGACAGCCTGTGCGGGCCTGAGGCCCATTCTTATATGGTAGGGCATGAGGTGGAAATGGTGTGCACTTAAGATGCCTTTTCCTGACAGCGCGAATCTGCATGTGTGCATGCACATGCACACTTCTACATGTTGCCTGAGAAATAATATGCCTTCAATAATAACTTACCATTTTCTTTCTTTTTCACTTATTTTGTAAGTTGTCTTAAACAAAAATTCCAAATATTACATTTTATGGTGTTCCAAGAATAGCTTGTTTGTCATGCCAAAAAAATGCTATTCAAATTCCAACTGTGTAATATGTAACCTGGAGGAATCATCACACTGAAAATCAAATCATTTCTTACAAAGCTAAGCATACTCTACAGAGTGATCCAGTAATCACACTCTTAGAATTTTCACCCACATGAAAACACCTACGTATACATGTTTTCAGCAGCTTTTTTCATAATCTCCAATAACTAAAAGCAAGCATGTTCTTCAATAAGTGAATGGATAAACAGACTGATACTGACACACAATGCCCCATTATATAGCAATTTCAAAAATAGCTGTTAAGCCCCCAAAAGATATAAGAATAAATTGAACACATTTGCTAAGTTGCTTATACTGAAAGATAATGAACTGTAGGATTCCAACTATATGACATTCTGAAAATGGCAAAATTGTAGTGCTTATAAAAGTCAGTGGTTTTAAGGGTTTAGGGGGAGTGGTGATAGGAGAACAAGTGAATCAGAAATCACAGAAAAATAAAAATGTATTTTCAGATATGGTAATGGGGTAAGCAGAAGGATTCATCAAAACACAAAATTTTAGGCCATAAAGAATGAACCCTAAGCAAACCAGGTGTCACATACCTGTAATCCTAACAGCTCAGGAAGCTGAGGCAGGAGGATTATGAGTTCAAAGACAGCCTCAGCAAAAGTGAGGCACTAAGCAATTCAGTGATACCTTTTTTCTAAATAAAATACACAATAGGGGTGGTGATGTGGCTCAGTAGTTGTGTGTCTCTGAGTTCAATCCCCAGTATAAAAAAAAGGCTATTAATTTAAAAAAATCAGATGACCTAAACTTGGCTAGGTACCCTACACAGCAGGAATAAGGAGTTAAATTGATATGCTATGACTTTAAACATATAGATTGAAGTGAAAGTTAAAACGCATATGTGGAAGGTAAATTTGATAA